ATTTAGATAAGGCCTGATTTTGGGACATCTTGAATTTCTGGCAGAGGAGTTTGGACTATCTCCCCTGATCCATAGGAAAGCCGGTTGAAGTTTCTCAGACAAATTGAAACAGAAATGTGGTCTCAATCCAGTCATCTAGATGAGAAGAGAAATTCAGTTGTGTTCTGCATTTTTAAGCTAAATCATTGTTCATCTGTTCCAGCGATTTTCAACTGGTGTGCTGTGACACACTGCAAGAATATTTAAAACATGTGATAATCTCTTATTTAGTCAGGGGCACTGACCTCATTTCCCTTAGATTGTCAAATAAAAAAGAAAAAAGCAACACCTAACACAACAATAGCTGTCCAGTGTGAATGAATCAAAACTATAAATATATTTTTGTCAGGTTGGCAAAGATATATTTTTTGTGTGGTGCAGAATTTTAGTAATTCATTTATGTGTGCCATGAGATGGGAAAGGTTGAAAATTCCTGACCTTGGAATTCTCCCTCTGGTATGGTGGCTTGTGATCTTGCCACTTGATCTTCCTTCAGAAGCACAAAGGACTCCAACTCGGGAATGTAAACCAGCTGATTTTGAGGTTCCTGAATCCTTCTTGAATTGTCTTCGGGACCTGAGTTCCTGCTTTCTGAAGGACATTGCTGGTAAGGTGGGAAATAGGAGGAGGGGCTAGGATCTACTTTTCTGGAGGTGATTATCTTCAACCTAGTGACCCAGTGCACGAAATTCATGCACATTAAAGGGGGATTAATTAGAGGAAACAATTTAATATTGCTTTTTGCTCTTTCTCTATAATTGAAGTGTCAGAGATGAAAGAAAATTAGTAAAATGTATATAAAAACCTTCCTTCTGTCAGAGTCTGGGGCTCACCACCAGACCCAGAGTCAAGCCCCCCCCCATCCACATGCACCTCAAAATCGTGTGAGACCCAGACCTGGCCACTACCCCCACTCCCCCAATTGGGCTAGATTTAGTCCCGGCCAGTCCCACCCTTGTCAAGCCCTGCTAGGCAGGGGGCGGGCATAGCTTCAGGTCCCTTGGCCCGGCGCCAGGATAGGGGACACAATTCCTGAGATCCCCTGTAAAGTCCCAATGGGTGTTGGGCACTGTCTGAGGTCCCCCAGCCTGGTGCTGGGGCAGGGGGAGCAGCCTGAGGTCACCTAGCCCAGCACCAGCATGGGAAGCACACCTTGAGGTCCCCCATCAAGCCCCGCCAGGTGGGGGGTGTGGCCTGAGGTCCCCTGTCAAGCCCTGCTGAGTGGGGGGCATGGCCCGAGTTCACCTGTCAAGCTCCACTGGGTGGGGGCATGGCCTGAGGTCCCCTGGCCTGGTGCTGGGGTGGGGGGAGCAGCCTGAGGTCCCCTGTTAAGTTCCATGGGGGCGGGGTAAGGCGTAGCCTCAGGTTCCTGCTGATTGCTCATTAAGGCTCCTTATGGGACCTTGGCCTCAGCTGTGGGTGCAGCCATCTTTGCGATGGAGTGATGGTTAATTTGCATATTCCCTCTTTATTATATAGGATAAGGCCCTTACTTAGTCTTCTTTTCAAATCTGATCTGATTTGTGTTGCAAAGACACTGTATACCCGTTGTCCATGGTTCCTTGTACCTTGTGTGAGGTTGCACATGTTGTCTGGATTTTGGGAAAGCTACCTTTATTATTTCTGCTCTCTCACAACAGTGTTTATCACTGACAAGATCTCCAGCTTCTGCTTTCAAGTGGCCTTACAGATCTTACACCGCAAACTGCCCCAGTTGTGTGCCCACCTCTGTAATGCTGTGATTGACTATCTGAGTAATCGCAATTCCTCAGCAGATGGCAGGTAGGTCAGGCCTCAGGATTGATTGGGATTGATGGGGTGTGTATAATAAGTGAGGTGTGTAGGTGTTTTGGATGGAGTGGAGTTAAACTACCTTCTCCTTGTCTCCAGTCCCCTACTGCTGTTTCTGCGGGATCAGACGAGCTCCAGACTTCTGGAGCAGGTGCTGCTGGTGTTGGAGCCCCCGAGGCTCCAGAGCCTTTTTGAGGATCATTTCCAAGGGCAGCTGCAGGCCATGGCTGCGCATCCCATCGCCAACTTCCCTTTGCAGCGTTTACTAGATGCTGTCACTACCCCTGAGCTCGTGAGTCCCTGGGAACTTGGCTGGGTCTGTTTCTTTACGCTGTTGCTTCTAGTAGTTCTTGTTCATTGGGCCTTATTTTATGGTATGCCTATCTCTGACTGTTGCTGGCTGTTCTCCTTAAAAAGTTATTCCTGGAGGTTTCCCAGAGCATAGGGTGAAGGTGTCTTCTTCCCAGAAAGGATTTGCTTTGGCTTTTTTCAAAAGTCAATACCAACAGGAGACTGGCTTAATCCAAGTTAGCAGCTTGAGGTTCCACCCAGACTGGGTACTTGGCTACAAATCCAAATGAGCACTGGAGCTGCCACAGCTTCTCTTTTCCTTTGCTGCTTAGTGCCAGGGCATGTTTCCTCTGGAACTCATGGGTTGGGAGTTAGAGTGGAAGGTTTGATTTTCATTCTTCTTTACCCTGACAGTATGGTAGTTTAATGTCCCCTCTCCAGGTGAGGCAGCTCCTTTAAGATTACACCCTTGTTCTGAACCTTTTTTATCCAGCCCAACCAAAGTCCTGACATTGGCAATGCTTTTTTTTTTTTTTTTTTTTTTTTTTTTTTTTTTTTTTTTTTTATCTTACCTAGCATTTTTAGTTGTTTTGGGCAGAAAGATTTCTCTGAATAACTTAGTCCACAGTTACCAGAATGCCAAAAATTCTTTACCCCATGTCTTCCCACAGCTGTCCCCCATATTTGAGGAGCTGAGTCCTGCCCTGGAAGCTGTGCTGGCACAGGGTCACACAGGGGTAGTCATTGCCCTGGTGGGAGCCTGCCGCAGAGTTGGGACCCAGCAAGCTCAGGTTCTGCAGCTGTTGTTAGAGGTGAGTGGGTGTTACTTGCAACCCATTTATGCCCTTGGTTCAAATTTTATCTCTTTAAGACTTATCGAATCTTTAGTCATTATATCTCTGGCCCCAAGATATTCAATGCTCAGGGAGTTCATAAGATAACAAGGGGAAATGAGGCCAAATCCATCTCATAGCCTTAGAATGAAAATTGTATCCCAGTCGAAACCGGTTTGGCTCAGTGGATAGAGCGTCGGCCTGCAGACTGAAAGGTCCCGGGTTCGATTCCGGTCAAGGGCATGTACCTTGGTTGCAGGCACATCCCCAGTAGGGGGCGTGCAAGAGGCAGATGATAGATGACTCTCTCATTGATGTTTCTAACTCTCTACTCTGTATCTCTCTCCTTTCCTCTCTGTAAAAAATCAATAAAATATATTTTTAAAAAAAAAGAAAAGAAAAGAAAAAGAAAATTTTCTCCCAGAACAAAGAGAGAAGTTTATTTAAGGAATAAATACTTATTGACCCCTGTTACATGTATAGAGGCTGGAGATACAGCAGGGCAGACGAGATCCTGTCCTCATGCAGCTTATATGCTTGTGAAGTTAGGCATTCTCACCACTCCTAAATGCTTTCCCTTATCTAGAAATTCAGGGTTAAAGTCAGTTCTCATATTCATTATGTTTTGTCTTCTCATCTAGGCATTCCACTGTGCAGAACCCTCTTCCCGGCAAGTGGCCTGTGTGCCTCTCTTTGCCACTTTGATGGCTTATGAGGTGTACTATGGATTGGTGGAGGAGGAGGGGGCAGTGCCTGCGGACCACCAGGTGAGGTAGGGGAAAGACCAAGCCAGTGCCTGATTGGGGACCAGGTCTCCCTGGGCTTAGGGAGCCTCTCACTATGGAGGTGAAGGTGGTGAGAGCTCTGGCTTCATCCAAGTGGAGGTGGCATTTTGGTGGCTGCCTCCTGATTGCCTATTCCTGTTCTCAGGTTGAAATGGGCACAGCCAAGGCCCTGGGGGAAGTGACAGTCCTTGGATCTCTACTGCTCCAGCATCTGCTGCACTTCTCCACTCCTGGCCTTATCCTTCGAAGTCTGGGTGCCTTGACAGGACCACAGTTTCTGACTCTGGCCCAAAGCCCTGCTGGTTCCCATGTGCTTGATGCCATCCTGACCAGCCCTTCTGTGACGCGCAAGCAGCGCCGCCGTGTGCTCAAGATCCTAAAGGTTAGACTCTGACTTCTGCTTTGATTCCTCCACCATTACCCATTTAGAGCTTCCCCCGGACTGTCTTTCCTAGATTCTTTTGACTCAGTCTTTAAATGAAAACTCCACTCCCTTCTGCCCTCCCCAGTACATTTTTAAGAACTGCCCTAGGGGGACCTACCTTGTCTGTCTCAATGCAGGGACAGTATGTGGCTCTGGCTTGCAGTCGCCATGGCAGCCGTGTGTTAGATGCCATCTGGAATGGAGCAGCCTTGGGGGCCCGGAAGGAAATTGCTGCTGAGCTGGGTGAGTACCATCAGGTCTCTTTCCAAACTTCCCTTTCCTTACTCCAAATGGCTGGGTGGCTGGGTGGTTGGGGGATGGATTTAAATTCAGCAGAGACTTCAGTTCCAAAGGGTGGTTTGGCCATGGTGCTTAGCAGTCTGCTCTCCCCTTCCCTCTGTTGATTGTGCAGTCCTATGTTCTTATCCTCCTCCCAGTTCTTTGGAGAGTGAGGGGTTAACTTTATCCCAAAGCAGACCCAGGGACCAGGTAGAATGGAGAGACCTTCACCCCAAGTAGAGTCTCTTCACGCATAGGTGGTGATTGCATGCTGATACTGAACATGATGGTTCCCTTTGCAGGAGAGCGGAACCAAGAGCTGATAAAAGACCCTTTTGGCCACCATGTGGCTCGAAATGTGGCCCTGACTACCTTCCTGAAGCGCCGAGAAGCTTGGGAACAGCAACAGGGGGCAGTGGCCAAGCGGAGGCGGGTTTTGAACTCAATTCTTGAAGACTGAGGCCTTCAGATCTGGGACTGGGTGTTTATGGGTAGGAGGAACGGGAGTATCTGTACTCCCCTCACTAATTTAAATCAGTCATTGAAGTCAAAAAAGTGTTATTGATAAACATTTTTATATTTGTATTGGAAATGTCTTTGTTATTCTTCGGGGGAAGGGTATGAAGAAATAAGAGATCTCAAGGTAAAGTCCAGGAGGGCTGTCTTCAGCGTGCTGGGGAGCTCAGCGAGAGACGTAGGAACTCTAGAGGCAGCAACAACCAGTGCTATCAAGATGCCTAGGGAAAGGTTGGGCCTTTCAGGGTAGGTGGGAGGCTGAGAGGATGGCTAAGGAGGGACAGCATTCTTCAGGAGTGGGTACAGGTTAGGGGTATAAGGCGCTATGCTGATGGGGTCAGAGGGCAGTGGAAAACCAGGTGAGTTATCTAGTCTGCACTAACTGCAGGTCCCTAAACCGGATGTCATCACAGTCCCTACAGCCATCTCTAGGGCAGAAGCTCTGAGCCCCTTCTCAGTAGGGATGAAGGTGACCCTGCTGCTGCCACTGTGTAGCCCCTTCCACTACATGGCGAAGGGTAGAGGAAATTCCCAGCAGCATTTGGCCCAGGCCATACAGCAGTGTGGAGGTCCATCGGAGGAACTCCCTGAAGGACAGAGACAAGAGGCAGTCAGGTGACCAGGAGGACATAGAGCTGGGGGGTGGGGCTGGGGGCTCTCCATAATTGAGAGCTAATGGGTTAGGTGAGTGCAGGAGAAGGAATTAAGGAACTGAAACTGGGGATGGGGAAGTAAAACATTTTGGTCTCTGACCTGAGTACTTTCTTTGGGCCAAGTCCTTGAATGTCACAACTCATGGAGTAGAGCCCGTAGAATGTGGCTTTGACATTCAGGCTCCCAAAGAGGTCTCGAGGGTTTTGCTTGTACACGTCAAAGGTGATGCGGGCGATGTCCTTGCTGTTCTTGGGCTTCTCCCGGCCCAGGCCATATGACAGCATCCCACTCTGAAGAACACCTCCATGAGTACAGTGGTCCCTCACATCCACCATCAACCCCCATCAGTAGTGGGACAGACCCACCCTTGCCTGGACTGTTAGTCCACCATAAGGTGTCCTTAAAAACTCCTTACCTCTCTCATCACTTCTGCCCTCACGATGAGGGGTAGGCAGGAGGATAAGCTTGGGAGAGATATAAAGGATTGGTGGCCTAAAGCAGCCCACCCGGTACAGGCCTCACCCTGCTGGGACTCCAGCTCTGCCCAGACTCCAGCACCATCAGGCATGTGTCATCCTCCAACAGCTGGAAGAAGTCTTCGCTCTCCACGGCAGTCCCATCCTCCTCTAGCACCAGGGTTAGCACTCCGCTCAGCAGCAGGGTCTCCAGTGCCTGCCCAGTAGCAAGAAGCAGGAGGGGAATGGCAGAGCCTTCCCTCTACAGCTGCCAGCATCTCCTGGCTGGCCCCAGACACTGGTTGATGTCCCAACTCTACTTCCTGGTGCCTTGCCATCCCTTCAAACAGCTCCAGCTCTCTGTTCTTTCATTGGGGAACCCTCACTGGGAGCTGGCCTTTTTTCCTGTTTGCTTCTGCTTTGCTCCTACCATGTTGTTATTTACCCCTGCTCCCCTCCAAGTCACTCCTGATTAGGAATTGGAAAGCTAGCCAGGCTCTCTTGAAGTCCATCCTTTGGGAGTGGGCATAAGGCATTATGCTAATGGGGCCTGATGCAATGGGATCTTATCTCCCACCTCGCTCCCCTACTCCCTACATAGAGTTCTCCAGAACCGTTTTCAGTAATAATGACCATCTTTTTGTCTTTACTAGTTCCAGGTACCTATGTACAATAGCACTTTACATACATTATCCTCCTTTATTTTCTTCAACAATCCAAGGAGGTGTATTATTATTATTCCCTTTTTATAGATGAAGAAATTGACTTTTTGACTTCTCCCCAACCAGAGGGTAAATAGCTTAAATCACCCTAGTTAAGGAGATAGAAATTCAATTAATGCCATTTGCCAACCACAGCCAAGGACAGATGAAGTTAAGAGAATAAATTTCATTTTTGGTACATCAACATAAAGCTGATGAATATTCTATTGAGATCTGCCCCTAAAATCTCCCCTAAACACCCAGCTTTTTAAAACCCCTCAAAAATGAACGCACCAGTGGGTGCTCTCACCCCCAGTAGTACTCAGGCGCCCCCTTTCCCCCAACTTCCCCAACAGTCATGCATCTCCTAAACTCAGGGACCCCACCAGGCTTGCAACCAGTGCAGCAATGGGCAGCGGCAGCTCATCCCAGACAAACCGCCTGAACCTATCTCCAAGGCCTCCTTTGCTCTGCCTTCTTAGTCAGCCAAAGCAGACCAGCCTAGGTTCACTTTCCCAGGCCTTTCTTGTTTCACGTCCTAGCTTTAACAATTGTCCTTTAAAATTCAGAAAAGAAAGAATTTTTGACATTTTTATAGGTTAGTAGCTTCCTAAGGTTTGACAGAAGGAGGCGACAATCACCCACCTCAGGATTTGAACTTGATTTGTCACACAAATTGCCAGTCCACACTATCTTCTAAATCCTATCCCTCCAACCCTCCCTACTCCTTCACCTATCCCCAAAGAAAAGCCAGCTTCTTGGTGGAAAAATAGATTGACCAAACGCAGCAGAGATCATTCCCCGCCCCTATCTCTCCCCCCCCCCCCCCCCCCCCCCCCCCCCCCCCCCCACACACCTGCTTTAGTTTTCAGAGGGAGGGGTAGCTGCATAACCTCAGCCCTTTCTGCTGGTCATTCCAAGTTCTCGCTCTTTGAGCCCCTTGGATAGGAACCCAGGGACTTGGCTCACTCACCTTGTCTAGCAGTTCCTGGCGGGTGGCGGCTGTCAGACCTTTCCGTGTGGTTCGTTTGTGATCACAGACTCGGAAAGGGCGCTGGGGTGGTGGAGCTGAGGTCCAGACCCTGCGGCCAAACTCAGAGCTCATATTGGATACTGACCTGGAAGATGGGAAAAAAGGTCAAGGAATGAGGGGTTTGCTGGGTGTAATGGGATGTTGGGGGTGATGCAGCTGGAGCGTTAGAGAAAGGGGGATTTAGGTTGTTGGATTAGAGTAGCGTAGGGAGAGAGGCGGGTGGCAGAAGCCGGACAAGCCCACTGTGGAAAGTGGAGTGGGAGGGAAAGGGGTACAGGTTCATGAGCTTCCAAGGGGCTGAGTGGAGATTTGTTGCGCTGCCCCTATCTCCAGTTAGAGAGTGGAGAGGAAGATCAGTAGTCACCTGAGCAGGCTGCTGGGGTTCATGGCAGAGAGGTACTCCATGGTGTAGGGAAAGAGCAGAAGAATTCTGGGCTGGGTTGTTCTCGGCTGTGCTGGGCTGAAGTCGTGATGTTTTCTGTTACAGAGCTGGGACCTCAGCCCCAGTGAGGTGGAGGATGAGTCAAGCGGACTCTGCCCCCCCCCCTCCCCCTCCTCCCCCTCAGGGCCTGCAAGAAGGGCAAAGTCCCAGGGGAGGGAGAAGAGGAGGGGCCTAGATGGGGTCCTGGAAGAAGGATTGAGGCCCGGAGTTGCCAGGCAGAAGCCAAGGAAGCGTTGTGTGAATGTTGTCTCTGGTGGCAGCTTGTGATGTGAGGTCAATGGTAACTATGTAAGAGGGTGGCGAATTTCTAGGTATAGAAGCTACATTATGTGATTTGTGCTGTGCATACTGCCACCTACTGAAAAATCCATAAACTGCTGCATTAGAAAAGGGAGGCGGGGCTGAGGGTGAGATCATGGGTAGGGCGTGGAGAAATGGGAGGTGAGGCAGTGTGTCTGGGTGGGGCGCCAGAAGAGGATGGGTCCTGATCCATGGACCACCAGGATCCTGTGGCAAGGGTCTTCTTGCTTTCCTGTGCTTTCCTTCGCGGTCTAGGGGAGCAGCTGGCTCACTTCTCTGATTTAATTCTGCAGAATTGCCTGCTTCAACCACTCTGGATTTCTCACTTTTCTTCTTTGGCCACTTAATAGGCATGACGATGTGAAGGGGGAGTGTCCTCTGATGGCATCAGGACTTTAGCTTCTGGTGCTCCACGCCCCATCCCTGATTTCAGCGGCAGCTGTGCTGGACAAGTTGCGTGGAAGCTCAGACTCTCACTGACAATGAATTCCTCGCTTGAGTGCAAGTGTCTGCTTTCCTGCCTAGAAGCCTCGTTTGAAGCCTTGGCAGTCTGGCCTGCCCCCTGACAAATGCAGGCTTCAAGTGTGTATAGGAGTGTCAATGCCTCCTCTTTCTCATTCAGTGGCACTTCTTAGACATTCCTGATGCCTACTGGGGGAGCTCAATAACAATCTTATTGGTTTTCCTCTTCCCTCTCTTCTCTCACTCCTGCTTCCCAAGCTGTGTTGCTGTGTCTATGAGTTTGTTTGTGGCTTCCTGATTTATATCCAACATATGAGTGAAATCATATGGTTCTTGTCCTTTTCCATCTGACTTTCTTTTACTCTTCTTCTGGAAGTTTAGTTATGCTTCTGTTTGATCTCTAATATTATCCCACAGGTCTCTGAAGTTTTGTTCAGTTATATTTAATGAGTACAGGATCACCTTAACTCAGACTCTGATTTGGAGGGAACCCAAAAGGAGACAGTACTGGTGTTCTGGCTCCCAAGGAACCCCCAGTTCTGGCTGCTGAATGGCACCGGCCTTTCCCCTTTCCTCAATGTTATCAATGAACCAGGTCCCCTCAAATTTCTTAATTTCCAAGTTTTGGTCTCACTTTTCCACCCAGAGAAAGGTCAGCATGTCTCTACCACTGCAACCTTTCCCTTTTTCTTGTAACCTGGTGCAGCCTAGGAATGTGGTCTCTTCATGGTTGTGTGTGTTAACTCCTCAGCCAGGTTATATGCCCCTCAGGCCTCCAAGCATCCCCCCAGGCCCCACAAGATTTAGCACCGTGCTTTATACTGAAAGCTGTCATTGACAGCCCAGTGGGAGCCCTGGGGGTGGAATGACTGGGGCAGAGCCCAAGGCCAGAGGCGAGAGGGGTAGGTAGGAAGCTGAGGAAAAAGCAGGCTCAGCAGGATTAGGAGTCTAGAAACAGGGAAAGAAAAGAGCAGCAGGGAAAGTGAGTAGTTTGGGTCACCTTTTATGCTGAGTGCAGACCAAGGAGGCCAGAAAGCATAAGGCTGCAGGGTGAGGGGGGTTGGGACCAGAGCTGGGGGAGGGATCTGCACAGAAACAGGACCCAGGGTCAGGATTCCGCAGTGTCCCTACTCACCCACCTACACAACCAGGGAGCCTTATCTGCACCCCTTCACTTATCCTGTTTCCTGGGAGGCAGGACCTCACATGCCTGGACGAGTTAATGATGGGAAGGAATACGATGAGGGAGGGGCCCCAGGCAAGGCCCCACCTTAATCCTCCCCATTCTCGCCTCACCCACTGCACATCTGACAGGCACCGGACAGGAGTAGGCACCAAGCCCATAGCTGTTTGCCTTTCAGCCTCCCCAGGACTCTTGTGGACCCTCACCCTGCTAGCTCGAAGCTGGGTAAGTAGATCTGCCCAAGGGCCTTTACTCACCACCTCTCACTTTTGCCCTGAGGCATAGGGAAGGGGCTGGACAAAGAAGGGTAGAGGTGTGGAGGTGGAGGTGGAGACAGCCTGGGAGTCAGGACTGGGAGTCAGCTCAGCTGACTGAGAGCAGGGGATCTGGATTCCAAGAGGTAGTGTTTGAGCTGTGGCTGGGGTCCCAGAGGAAGCCAGGGGTCCCAGACAGAAGAGAGGCAGGGGTCAGGGAAGCGAGGGGAGGCACCGTTCCTTCTCCCCTAGCATCAGGGGTCACGTTGGCTTTTGCCCCAGCCCCTGAATGCGCACCCTGGTCCTTCCTAGCCCCCTGTAGGTACAGAAGGATGACAGACTGCTACCGCCCCCCGGGGAACGAGACGCTGCTGAGCTCTCCCGCCTCGCGGGCCACAGGCACGGTCTTCCTGCTGCTGGCGGCGCTGCTGGGGCTGCCAGGCAATGGCTTCGTGGTGTGGAGCCTGGCAGGCTGGCGGCCCGCGCGGGGGCGGCCGCTGGCGGCCACGCTGGTGCTGCACCTGGCGCTGGCGGACGGCGCGGTGCTGCTGCTCACGCCGCTCTTCGTGGCCTTCCTGGTGAGGCAGGCGTGGCCGCTGGGCCAGGTGGGCTGCAAGGCCGTGTACTACGTGTGCGCGCTCAGCATGTACGCCAGCGTCCTGTTCACCAGCCTGCTCAGCCTGCAGCGCTGCCTCGCCGTCACCCGCCCGTTCCTGGCGGCCCGGCTGCGCAGCCCGGCCCTGGCCCGCCGCCTGCTGCTCGCCGTCTGGCTGGCGGCCCTGCTGCTCGCCGTCCCGGCCGCCGTCTACCGCCACCTCTGGGGGGGCAGCCTGTGCCAGCTGTGCCACCCGTCGCGGACCCACGCCGCCGTGCACCTGAGCCTGGAGACGCTGACGGCCTTCGCGCTGCCCTTCGGGCTGGTGCTCGGCTGCTACAGCGTGGCGCTGGCGCGGCTGCGGGGCGCGCGCTGGGGCTCCGGCCGGCGCGGCACGCGGGTGGGCCGGCTGGTGAGCGCCATCGTGCTGGCCTTCGGCCTGCTCTGGGCCCCCTACCACGCCGTCAACATCGTGCAGGCGGTGGCCGCGCTGGCGCCGCCCGAAGGGGCCCTGGCGAAGCTGGGCGGAGCGAGCCAGGCAGCGAGGGCCGGTACCACGGCCCTGGCCTTCTTCAGCTCCAGCATCAACCCGGTGCTCTACCTCTTCACCGCCGGCGACCTGCTGCCCCGCGCAGGCCCCCGCTTCCTCACGCGGCTGTTTGAGGGCTCTGGGGAGGCCCGAGGGTGCGGCCGCTCCAGGGAGGGGACCATGGAACTCCGAGCCACCCCTCGGCTCAAAGTAGTGGGGCGGGGCTTGGGCAACGGAGACCCGGGGGGCGGGGCTGCAAAGGACAGCCAGGAATGGGACCCGTGACACCAAATCCTGCTCTTCCCTGTCCACTTCCATCACCCCTCAGAACTCAGAGACCAATCGGGAGCCTTGGGAAGACTCTGACCAGTTTGGATCTGTCGGGGCAGAATTATGTACCTGGGCAGGCCCAGGTTCCTCCAAACTGAGGGATTGCCAGGGATGATGGTTCATGCTAATGAAATTGTGCACTTGCAGGTTGGCATGTGCCCATGTGCCAGAGCTGCTAATTTGTTGCCAACAGTTATTGTGAAAGACCCTGTGCAGCCATTACACCATGGCTTAAGTGTGCTCTCCGGAGGTTCAGCATGCCTGCGTTGCACTGAAGCCACCTGGTTTCCCTGCGGGTCAGGCCAAGGCTGGGCAGTGGCCTTGACCCATCCTCCCCAGCTCAGGTGGCCTACTTCCCTCAGGCCATACAACCACTCTGCAAATAAGGGGAGAATGAGGAAATAAAGGTATAGGTGCTTGGGTGTGGGGTGGGGATGAGATCCATTCTCTGGGGTCTATAAGAGATTGACTGGCCCTGGAAGCTGAAAGTCAATCTGTGGGGTTTGAAAGGAGCGTTTTCCTGTCTGCCTTGTGGTTGGTGCAGTGGGGGAGGGGCCGTAGGAGTCCGAGACTTAGCCTCCTCTTTGAATCTAACTCTCCCCACAAAGGTCACCTGACTCAAAAAGAGCCCAGGAGCAGGCACTCAGTTATCCAGAGGGCATTTGGGGTTGGAGATGAGGGAGTATGAGGAAGAGTGTGGATATCTGGAGGACAGGAAGAATTTTTCAGGGAAGTACCATTTCTCCTTTCTCCTTTTTTCTCTCTCCTGACTGCGAGCTGTTCCTCATCCATCCTCCCCAACATTTCCCAGACCCCATCTTTTGGAATTTCTTTACCTGTAGGCTTCAAAACTGTTCTGGATCCTGATACTTTTGAGTTTGGGGTGCAGGATGAGAGGCACACACATGTGGTTACTAGGGTGACCAACTTGCAGTTTTAGCACTGAAAGTCTTTTATCCTAATCCCCTAAATCCCTGGCCAACCAAGATGGTTGTTAAGTTCTGGACAACCTGACTGTTACCCCCTGTCCTGCCTTAGTGACTGTTCATATCACCCAGGGAGATGCAGAGATAGCAAAGGAAACCCAGTCCTCAGGGTCACGCCAGGGCCACCAAAAACGGGTTGGGACTGGAGGGACAGGGATGCTTAGCGTGTCTAGACTAGGGTGGAAGAAGGAAGGTCATTGACAGAAATGGAAATGGGGAGCAGCTTGTATCAGAAGGAACCTCTGATTGACCCCAGAGCTTCTGCAGAGGCTTCCTCTGTCCTCAAGCACTGGGGAGGGGAGTTCCTAACTTCCTCTGTTACATATTTCCCGACTAACATCCTCTGTGGTCAGAAAGCCCTTCCTCAACTCTGTGGAGGAACCTGTGTGCTGTGGTTTCAGTCCATTTCTTTTCATCATATTTTCTGCCTGACAGCTACTGGGTGAACTCTGCTCTGGCTTTTCTCAAAGCAGAGAAAGTGGGGGCACTGCAAAGGTAAGGGACTTCCATGACCACTATTACACTCTGCACATTTCCTGAGAGTGATTGGGTTGGAAAGGAAGCAGGAAGGTCAGATGGAAGGAAAGACTTCAGTTCTTAGCTTCTTCAGGAGAGTTCAAGAAGAGGAGAAAAGGGGAGAGTGACCCTTTCCTGGCCCTGGTTTCCCCTCTTGTCAGAACAGGCATGAAGTACCATCTCCCTCATGCCTGTTCCCTATGCTCAGCCTCTACTGCTATATGGTGGGACTGGACAGTTGGCTGTGGGGAGGTAAGAAAAAAGGCAGTACTGACCTTGCCCAGTGCCCAGATTTTAGGGTAAGCCTCATGTGTCAGGGTAAGCCAAATGGGCAAGCACAAGGCAAATGGTTGGGGAAGGGGAAGAAATTGGCATTCTGTGTGATTGGACTTTGGCTTCTACCAAGAGAAGGGAAAATTGATTACCCTAGAATGAAACCAATTCCTTTAAGTGAAGGGAGCGACTGGGTTGCTGGAAGAGGGACTTCTTTCTTCAACTCCACTCATGGCTTGAATGCAAGCCAAGAACAAGGTGCTGACCTCTTTAGGTCACTATGTTACAACCCAAACCTGGAACCTAACCACAGCTGTACCCTACATTTCCTATTACTCTACTTATTCATACAAATGACAAATATTCTCAACATTCTGCCCTCCCAATCCGAGCCCACTTCCCCTCTCTGGCTTCCCTCCCTCCCTCCTCCTATATGACACACTTTATTATTCTGTTCAATGATCCAGTCTAGACCTGCATATGAGGCCACACCCCAGCCTACTCACTCCTGCACCCCTCGTTCTTCTCTCCCTTCCCCCTTTTGGGCACTTCTCATCAAGTCCCACCCCTGAGGGTCCTCCTTCCAGCTGGCCTCTTCTGGACTTCAAAGACTATCCTCCCTCCTGGTGAAGGGAGGGGGCAGGAGTTTCAGCCCCACCCTCAGGAAGATGTGTCTTCCCCCTGCCGTGTGGTACTTCCTCTCCGAGTGACTTAGCTGACAGCATCCAGACCTGGGTCCAGACCCCTGCCACTGAGACCGATCTGGGGATAGACTCCGCCACTCTGGGATTGGCACCAGCTTCCAACCAGTGCCCAGCAAAGCCAGTAAGTAAGGATCCTGGGAGCAGGGGATTTGGTGCAGTAGGGTGGGGTGCAGCCATGAGAGAAGGTACAGAGGAATTTCCAAAAGAGCCTGACCAGTGGTAAAAAGATTTGGGAGGACTTGTTCTTCTCTCCTCTTTATGAACTCCTCCCATCCCTGTTATTCCTGGTGGGCCCTGGGCATCTCTGGGAGAGTGGGTCGGGGATTGGAGGACATCCATGGGACTGAGGGGACTAAGGACTTGGCAAGGGACAGAGGAGTTAGCCTTTTAAGGGGTGCAGCACTGAGAAGGAAATCTCCCCAGTTTGGCTCTGAATCTGAGAGTCTCCTAAGGGAAAGAGGCAGAAAGAGTCCAGACATGCTACTACTGCTGTTGCTTGCTATTTTGCAATTGGGTCTGTGGGCCGGAAGGAGCCATGTGGCTTGTTTAGGCAATTCGTCTTTCTACTCGGCCAGATCCCTTAAGACAGACTAGTTGGCCGTGATAAGGACAGTATATTGTGAAGGTGCACCGATGCTGCTGATTTAGAGAAAGACTTGAATCCTCAGGCTCGGTGTGTCCAGGATTTCAGAAAACCCTTGGATCCCTCGCTCACGCACATGTCCACCTCGCCCTCCAGATCCTTGCCATGGCCACGAACACTACATCTCCTGCAGCACCCTCCTCGCTATCCTCGCTAGGTGTCATGGCCATCACCCTCTTGTCAGTGGCTCTGGCTGTGGGGCTGCCCGGCAACAGTTTTGTGGTGTGGAGCATCCTGGTAAAGATGCGAAAGCGCTCTGTCACCGCCCTGCTGGTGCTGAACTTAGCCCTGGCAGACCTGGCCGTCTTGCTCACGGCCCCCTTTTTCCTCCACTCCGTGGCCCGAGGCACCTGGGTGTTCGGAGTGACCGGCTGCCGCCTGTTCCATTATGTCTGCGGGGTCAGCATGTACGCCAGCGTCCTGCTTATCACGGCCATGAGCCTGGACCGCTCGCTGGCGGTGGCCCTCCCCTTTGTGTCCCAGAAGCTTCGCACCAAGAAGGTCGCCAGGTGGCTGCTGGCCATCATCTGGGCGGCGTCAGTCCTGCTGGCCACGCCCGTCATCGTGTACCGCACCGTGGTCCCGATTTCCCCGGACAACAGGAGCCTGTACTGCTTCCCGAAATACAACACGGAAAGACACAGGGCCTTCCACCTGCTCTTCGAGGCCGTCACCGGCTTCCTGCTGCCTTTCCTGGCCGTGGTGGCCAGCTACTCCGACATCGGGCGCAGGCTCCGGGCCCGGCGCTTCCGCCGCAGCCGCCGCACCGGCCGCCTGGTGGCGCTCATCATCCTCACCTTCGCCGCCTTCTGGCTGCCCTACCACATGGTGAACCTGGCGGAAGCGGCCCGCTCGCTGGCCGGCCACCCGGCGGGGGTGGGGCCGGTGGGTGGGCGGCTGCTCCTGGCGCGCAGAGTGCTGATTGCGCTGGCCTTCCTGAGCAGCAGCGTGAACCCCGTGCTGTACGCGTGCACCGGAGGCGGCCTGCTGCGCTTGGCCGGCGTGGGCTTCATTGCCAAGCTGCTGGAAGGCACCGGCTCCGAGATGTCCAGTACGCGACGCGGGGGCACCCTGGGCCAGACAGGGAGGGGCGCCCCCGCCCCCACTGAGCCTGGCCCAGCCGAGAGCCTCACTGCCTCCACCAACCCTCTCGATTGAAACAGGCCCCGAGGGGTGGTGGGGGTGGTGGTGGTGATGGAAGGGACACTTGCTTTCCTCCTGGCGGCACGCCCCCACGCTGGCCTGACCCAGTTTTGCACCCCGAGGAGAAGGTCTGTGGGTGTGGAGCGGAAGAAGAGGAAGGGGAGGGGCAAGTAAGGGCAGTCAGCTCCTGGGAAGCTTTGCAATTAAAGCCAAGTCTGAAATTGGGTTAACCCTGTGTATGGGACATGTGTGTTATGGGGGATAGGTGTCTTTGTGGGGGTCGTTCTCTATAGTGGAGAGGCACATCCTTTAGTTTACCATGATTTTCAGTCTTAGAAGGGACACAAAGACAGATATAGAAATGACCCCCCCTCCACCACCACCACTTGCCCCATTCGGACAAGGGTGGCTTGCAGATCACACTTAGAACAACACAGGTTTGCAGACTCCTGGAAGAGCTGGTCCGGGACGATCAACCATGTGGACTCATCACTCCAGACTCCCATTCAGCCCACCTTCTGAGAAAAGTTAGCACCGCCTGTACCCAGATGCTAGTGATAGTTATCTTTGTCAGCATGACTCCAACTTCCTGCTACTAATCTTCATCCTCTCAGTGGTAGGTATTCAAGGGGATTGCCTTCCTTCCCTCCATCTTCCAAGAAGGCCTCACTTGAGAACCAAGTCAGCAGATCTTATCTTAGGTTAAAATTCAGATGAGGATCTCACAGGGTGGGGCAGAGGGTACTCTGGTCACCCTTAGGAAATGAAGATGCCCCAAAGGGAAAAGGATGAGTCATTCTTTTCTAGAGATGACTGTTGTCTTAGAGCCTCTATTCTGACATTTTAGGAAGATGGTGGCAGCAGTGGTAGTGGTCTACTTTTTAAATCTTTCCCATTAAAAAAAAACACAAAAAAAACAAAAACAAAGAAAGAGCAACTAGGAAAAAAAATTAAAAATCCGTGTGCAACATCTGCAACAAAGCCTCATGGACCCCAAAATATGAGCAGTTGGGAATGAACCATAGATGTTTCAAGACCCACATAATATCAGCAGAAGGGAGCAAGGGCCTGAGAACAGGAGAGCCCCAAGGTGCCTACAAATCCTCACTGGAAAGCATCATGGGTCAATTTTAGAAGTTGGGAGAGACCTAATAGATTATTTCCAAGTCCTCTTAATCGATGTTGCATAGTAAGCACAGAATAAAAAGTGTCTGTTTAGTGTTGAATGAATAAAGGTCAAATGACATTTTCCCTGGAGATTCCTTCCAATATTTGTGAGTGGAGAGCAGGAAAGGACAAATCCTTGTGTTGAGTTATGTGGCTAAAATTCTTCATACTTCCAAGGTTTACAAAATACTAGAATCGGGTTGGCAGGCAGGCAGGGAGGCTGAGGCAGTTCTCTTCCCGAACTTGTGAGAAGAAACACACCCTCCATACATTCATGCTCATGCTTGCACACACACAAACACTCATTTCGACCTGGGAAAAAGCAGTCCTGCTGAGAAGCAAGGAGGTGATCCCAGAAGCCATATCAGCAGCTTCTGGCATAAACTGGCTCCAGACATACCAGTCTCTTTATCGAGGATTGTTGAGGTGAAGAGAAGGGAGTGGGGCCTCAGCCTAGGGTGGCTGAGGGAGGTCCAGCTCTTGTCAAATCTGTGTTGAGGAAGTAGGTACACAGCTGCCCTTTGCCTTTGACTTTGATAACACCCCTGCTGTAGCAGGTATAGCCTAAGGACTGCAGGGCCCGGGCTGTCTCCTCAGTCACCTGCAATTGGAGGAAGGTGAGGGAGTATAGGCTTGGCCCCAACCTTAACCGCTGCCCCCATGACGCCAATGTGGCTCCCTCACTTGGATCTTGCCCAGGACTCCTGTACTCTCCATGCGACTGGCCACATTCACTGTGTTGCCCCAGATGTCATATTGTGGTTTCTGGGCTCCTATCACTCCGGCCACTACTGGTCCATGGTTTAGCCCTGATAAGAGATAAAAATGTGGGAGATATGAGGAGGGATAGGGAAAAAAAGACCTTAAGGAAACTAGGGAGAAGGGCCCTGGGGCGTTGGAAGAAAGGAGTGTGGGGCTGGAGGAGTGCTTAGGGAAGGGAATGCGTGTGCCTCATAGGTCCCTGGCCCAGCAGCTTCATGCTCCATCTCAAAAGGTGAGTCTGGAGGGAGGGCCAGGGCTGACCTGGAAAGCAGCTTACCAAGGACATGGGGGAGGGAGAGCTTGGGAAGATGTGGAGGAGGTCTCAGACTGACCCAGCAAGGGGAGGCCCTTACCCACACGCAAGCGGAAGTTGTTGAATGAGTGCTTGTTGATAACGTCCAGCTTAGAACAAAGGGCCACTGCAAATTCCACCATGGTGCCTAGGTGGCTGCAGCTTCGCTCAGCATCCTGGCAATGGGATGGCCACCAGAATGGGCCAATGAGGGCCCAGGATTAAGGCCCATTCACGAACCCACCAATAAGTGCACAGGTGAGGGACGGTAAGTAAGGAAGGAATGCTGTACCTGCTGTGCATCCTGTCCGGAGGTGGCATTTAAGCCTGTAGCTGCCATGTAGGTGCTGCCGATGGTTTTGATCTTCTCCACCCCACTGAACTTGGGCTTAGAGAGCAGCTGTATAGATGGGAGGCTGTGTACCCATTCTCTCTTGCTTTCCCACTCCTCTCTCCCCAAAACCCAGCCCCAGGCTAAAGGACCGGTTAGAGGTTAGGAATGGTGGCAGGAGGGAGAGATGGTAGTGAACACAGTTGCTGGAGAAGGTAGAGTTGAGGCATCAGAGGAAGAGTGGAAAGGCTAGAGAGGGCAGAAGGGGCTAATGGCCAGAAGAGCAAAGCAGAAGGATGGACTGGTAGGAAATCCTAGAACTCCGGACATAGGATCTGGGGAACCCTCAGAGTTGTCACCTCATCAAAATCAGCAATGATCTCATTGAGCAGCCGCAGACACTCTAGCCCCTCGTGGTTGATGTTGGATTCAGAGTAAAACTCCTTGAAGTCTGGGACTGAGGCGAAGAGGACACAGACACACTCATAGGACTGGTGGTAGAGGTCCTGGGAGGGTGAGAGGCTGGGGTGAGACTGTAGGCCACATTCTTTCCCTTCCTGTACTGGTGTCCCTATGCCTTTCCCTCTGTGTAAGAAGGATTGGAGAGGAGGGGAAGGAGGAAAGCCAGGTTACCCTAAGGATGTGACTCAGGAGTCAAAGATTGGGTCTCATTTTGATTCCAGGAGAGGCAGAGATTTGGGGTCAAGATCACCTCATAGCAATATGAAGGGAGTCACTTCTAGAACTGGGATCATGCTGATGGGAATTATCTTTATATCCTTTCTATTGCTGAAAGTTGTTAAGTGAGTTAAATCAGATTATAAAGATGTATAATTTGCAAGATCAAATAAATAAATAATAGGGAAAATAAGGCTAAGAGAAAATAAGGGTAAGGTTGTAAAGATGGAATCAGATCTGAGGTTGGTTCACTATATGGGTGCCATCTTAGTCCTAGATTCTGGCTTTGAGCTTTCTAGAGCCAATGTGAACACAAAAACAGGATCAGTTACAAGATACCCAGAGCCCCTAGCAGCAGAAACCAGAAGTAGAAGTATGTCTGACCTTGAGAGTAGGGAGCAGGTGGTGAGCATATAAGGCTGTGAAATAGTCCCTGAACTGTTTTTGCCAACACCCCTCGATATAGGCCAAGAGCATTTCCATAGCAAAGAATGGGGTGGTGGTGCTACAAAGAAGGTGGTACAAATATGTGGGTGACCTTCTGATGGTCTGACTGTAGCAATATATTTGAGGATCTAGAGCAGAGTCATCCAATAGAAATTTTTGTGGAGATGGAAATGTTCTGTGTATGTGTTGTCCAATATGGTGGCTATTAGCCACATGCAGCTATTGAGCACATGAAATGAGGCCAGTGTGACTGAGGAACTGAATTTTCTCCCTCTCCTTCTCTTCCTCTCTCTTTTAAGATACAGGTTTACTTACAAGAACTGAAAATTATATAGCATGCCTGAGGTCACACAGTGAGATCATGGGTAGAGAGAGAGAGAAAAACAGTGCCCAAGGACCGGGGCCTGGGATTCTGCTTTCATTGGGGTTAGGGGTGAGAGCCTGGGGTTTCTCAGGCCCACTTTTTAAAAAAATTGTCAATTACAGTTGACATTCAATATTATTTTATACTAGAGGCCTGGTGCATGGATTCGATCCCTCCTAACTGCCAGACATCAGTTTGTTCTCTATATCTGTGAGTTTGCTTCTGCTTTGCCATTTATTTTGTTCTTTAGATTCTACATATAAGTGAAATCATATGGTATTTGTCTTTCTCTGTCTAACTTATTTCACTTAGCATAATATCCTCTAGGTCAATCCTATGTTGTCACATTAATTTTCCATTTAATATATTTAAGGTTAAATGATCACACATGGCTAATGGCTACCATACTGGATAGTGCAGGTGTAGAGAGATGGGTGGACTGTATCCTCCACACAGCTCTCATCAACACTTGATAAAGCTTCTGAAGGTATGGTGTGGTCATGGGTTGGAGAAGACAGTCTTTCTAAGAACTTGGAATGCAGAGACTCTTTGCTCACCAAGACCAGAGCCTAAGATCTTGTGAAAATGGGAGGTATCTGACAGGGATATGGAGGGTCTTGGGTGGCTTCCTGACCCACTCTGGGGGTGTCCAGAGAGGCTGGGCTAAGGGCCAAGACTTTCATCCAAAATGAGTCCCTATAGTGTCTGAGGCTCAGGAGTCAGAGGTAGGGTGTCACCTCATTGCGCCGGTTCTGGCCAATAAACTGGGGGGCCACGTGTGCAGGCAGCACATTCTCCAAGAGAAGCCGAGTCAGATTCTCCATCGTCTCTGTCTCCTCCCGCTCCTGCCTCAGCTTCTTCTTCCACAGGAAATCCAGGCGGCAATAATATTCATTCTGGGGAGGGTGACGGGGGGCCATGGGGAGACACAGCACAGGAGAAACCCCAGATTCTGAGCATTCACCAAACTCCATGATGCCTAAAATCACCCCACCCACAGTTTAAATGTATTTTTATTGATTTCAGAGAGGAAAAGAAGAGGGAGAGAGAAATAGAAACATCAGTGATGAGAATCCCATTGATTGGCTGCCCCTTGCACACACCCCTTCTGGGGATTGAACCTGCAACCCTAAGCATGTGTCCTGACTGGAATCCAGCCAT